CAATTTAACAAAGAAAAATCAACAACAAAAAATGAGTTCGTGTGTCACCTCTGACACGCGTGTCATAGGTTCACCATCACTGGGCTATGATGTCACTAGGCATTTGGAGTTTTCCAGCTCCTTTACAATCTTATGGGACTGCTATGGCATATGTGGTCTGTCATTGACAAAAACATCATTATATGGTACATGACTATACACACGTTTCTTCACAGGACTGTTGCAAAGTACAGGGAGAGCTAAGGATAGGGGTCTATGGACCAAGTAAGTATTTGACTTCATTAGGGAGCATTTCTTAAGATGGACAGGATCCAGGGTGTAGTTGCAAGTATAAGAGAATGAACTGTGATGATGATCTGTAAGTTGGAAGAGGCCACGGTAGGCTCTGAGTCATCCTCGTGAACACTGAAGTCACCCAGTTGGCATGCAGAGGACCAGAGGACTGGGACACAGGTCCTGTCATTACTTGATGGGCAGGCTCTGCCAGGACATGATTTTGCTTGGGACCACACCCAAGCTGAAAAAGATTTCTAAGCCCTAGAAGGGCTGCTTCTTTCAAGTAATATTTGATTAGTCTCCCCCTAAATTTAGACACTAATTAGTATCGAAATGGAACTCATCCACATAATGTAAGCAAAAAAAAAGTTTTCTAGCTTCATTTTGTGGAACCGTGTTTATATTCAGGCTTTAAGGTCTGACTTTGGGATATTGGAAAAGAAATTCACGGAATCTTGGCCCAGGCAGAATAGCTCAGATCACTGGGGAAAGATGGGATTTCTCAATAAACAGTGCTATAACAAATGGTTTTCCATGTTTAAAAATTGAAATTAGATCCATATCTCAATGTACACAAAAATTGATTTGGGATGGAATAAGAAATTTCTATGTGAAAGTGAGAGATAATAGAAACAATAAATATTGGTCTCTGCCCCTGGTTCCTGGCACAGAACTCCTAAAACCCTTTTCCTAAGTGATAAGAACACTAGGATGCCCTGGCTGGGTATCTCAGTTGGCTAGAGTGTCACCCTGACACACCAGGGTGGTGGGTTTGTTCCCTGGTCAGGGCACATATTAGAAGCAACCAATGAATGCATACATAAGTGGAACAGCCCAGGCTGGTGTGTTCAATGGTCAGAGCACCAGCCCACATACCAAAGGGTCCTGGGTTCAATTCCCAGTCAAGAACACATACCTGGGTTGCAGGTTCGATCCCTGGCCCCCATGGGAGCGTGTGCAGGAGGCAACCAATCAATCTCTCTCTCTCCCCCTCTACCTAGATCCCTCCCACTCTCTTTCTGAAAAGCAGTGGAACAAATATCCTCCGGTGAGGATTAACAAAAAAATAAATAAAATAAATAAATAAAGGACAACTTTTAAAAAGTGGAAAGATGCCCTGGCTGATGTGGATCAGTTGGTTGGAGCATCGTCCCATACACCAAAAGATGGTGGGTTCGATTCCTGATCAGTGCACACACGCGGGTTTCAGTTAGGTTTGATCCCTAGTCAGGGTGCATGCAGGAGGCAGCCAATGGATGGTCCTCTCTCACATCAATGTTTCTTTCTCTCTTTCCCCCTTCCTCTCTAAAAAAAAAAAAAATCAATTAAAAAAATTTTTTTAAAGTGAAAGGACAAGTCATAGATAGGGAGAACATATTTACAACATATATAACCAATAATGATTTAATAAAGCATTCCTTCAGAACATCAATATATAGACAACCCAAAAGGAAAACAGGACAAAAAATATGAAGAGACATTTCACAAAAAATGGAAATACAGAGACTTATTTAGAAATATATGAAAAGATGATCAAGCTCAATCTCATTAATAATCAGGCAAATACAGAGTAAGGCCACAATGAGTTCTTCTATCCTCACTAGACTGGTAGAAAGTTAAGTGCTACCAACAACACGGTCTGGAAACAATGAGAACAGGAATTCTTACACTGCCAGAGGGCAGTTCACACAACCACTCTGAGGAACCATTTGGCATCACCCTGTGAAGGGCCCTGAAGAAACCCGTGCACAGGTGCATCAGGACAGATGTAAAAAACCCACTGTAACCCTGTTGATAACAGAAATATAACTGGCAGCAATGCAAATGTCCATCAATAGGAAAATAAAGACAGCAGTCTATTCACAGAATACTATACAACCATGAAAAATGAAGCAACACCTTTGATGAAACTCCAGAAACAAAACAGTTGATAAAAGACCAAGTCCCAAAAGTCTCACAGTATAAAAGTACTTTTTATAAGGCTCAAAAGCAAGCAGAGCTGAACATATTCTGGTCAGGAAGCTGTGTGTATATGAGAAAACTAAAAGGAAAAAATAAAAATTCAGGCTAATAGTTATCCTTGAGGAGGATGTGGAGAGGTGGCATAGGGGCCCAGCTGGCATGGCTCAGTGGTTGAGTGTTGACCTATGAACCAGGAGCTCATGGTTCGATTCCCAGTCAAGGCACACGCCCGCCCGGGTTGCGGGCTCAATCCCCAGTGTGGGGCGTGCAGGAGGCAGCCCATCAATGATTCTCTCTCATCATTGATGTTTCTATGTCTCTCTCCCTCTCCCTTCCTCTCTGAAATCAAGAAAAAATATATTAACATGTATGGAAGGCAACCAATCAATGTTCTCTCTCACATCTGTTCCTCTCTTCCTTCCCTCTCTAAAATCAATAAGCATATCCTGGGGTAAGGATTTAAAAAAAAAAAGGCCTAGATATGTGACAAGGAAATATTCTAGCTCTTAAATTTGAGTGGCTTCAGATATGTTGTTTGTTTTTATGTTTCATGCTTTATACGGAAGCATTTCATGTGTCAAATATTATTTACCTCTTTCATAAAATGAAGGGGGTGGGCAATGTGAATTCTGCATTCCATCCCACACAAAACGCTTTCCTCTGCATTTGGTGCTCCAGGGCGTCACAGACCCCTTTGTGCAAGTCAGGCCTGAGGACCGCTGACCTTTGGTGTTGACTGCTGCCTACTTCTCCACCTCTGCAGCCACTCACCCAAGCAGTCCTGAGCTGCTCAAGTCCTCCGAAGCACCTGCGTCCCACCAGCACGTACTGGAAACATCCCCATCTGCTCCTCGAGGATGAAAATCGTTTCACCATTAGAGGCCTCAAATGTTACCTCCAGGAGCCTTCAGAGGCTGCAAGAGTTTGGCCCTTTCTCCTCGCTGACTCCAGAGCGCCTTGCTCACGCCGCTTTGGGGACATGGCAGACGTGTGAATCGCTCATTTATGCGCCAGCCCTGCCCTAGACTCAGAGTCCCCAGAGGCCAGTACTGTTTTCTGTTCACCTCTGTGGCCCTAGAGCCCAACACAGCGACTCTCAGCAAAGCTTCTCTTAATGCAAGTAAAACAGTCCCAGGGCAGGAGAAATGTGAGGAGACGGTCATGGACGGAGACGGGAAGGGGAGTGAGTCAGGATTTAGAGACCCCACATTGAAGACACTGAGAACTCAACAGGGAACGCGCTCCTTCATGCCATATCCTCCTCTCTCTCACACTCTTCCTTCTTGCCATCCTTGGTGGCCTGGGAGGCCAGGGAGCCCATGGCGTTTCGAATGGCCTCATTGTTGGGGTCCACACCTGGAAGGTTCTCCAGGACGCTCTGCAAGAACTCGGGGTCCTGCATCACGTCGTAATCATCCTCCTCCTGGAAAAGGGCAGTGTCAGCGTGGGGCGGGGGGGCGGGGAGCACACTGCTGCCTGCGCCCCCCTCTCCAGTCTGGGGGTGGGGGACACCTCTGGCCGAAGGCAGGAAGGAAGATTCAGGAAAACACCCAGTATCTATATAGTATGAATGCAAACACGTGTCATCTCCACAGAGGAGAAACCTGAGAGCTTTGCTTCCTGGGCTCGAAGGGTGAAAACACACCATCACGTTTAGGTTTCCGGCTATCACACACCCACTCCTCCTTTTTCTTTTTCCTAGACCCGCTTTTCACTGTCCTAGGAAGATGACATCCTAGAGAACTGTCCAGCCTGCTCCCACCAGCAGGGGAGGAAAATTACAGACCACTAGCATGCCTTAGCAAGGTTTACACGCAAGAAATGTTTATCCACGTGTTTGTTTCCATGTGCTCCTCAAAGAGCTCACCTACAACCCCAAAAGGAGGAACTGTCCTAGGCCGAAGAGCCAAGGATCTGAGCATAGTGGGGGGGTAGGGGGTGGGGGTAGGGAGGTTGTGTTAAGCTTGATGAGCTCACCTTGGTGGGCTCAGAGGTGTCCATGGCTGAACTGGCATCAATATCAGATGATTCTGCCTGGCCAAACTCTGAGGAAAAGAGGCCAGTCTGTTCAGTTCCATTTCCCCACCCCAACTTCTCTGTCCGAAAACTACCGCCCAGGCCTGGCTCACCTGCGCCCTGCAGGGACATCTGCATGGCATAAGCGATCTGCTCTTCCTCAGTCATGCTGCTTAGGTCAGGGAGCCCGGTGCGGCTGAACTCCTGCTGGCCGATGGTCATTTTCAGCAGGGCGTCGTCTGAGTCTGGGAAAGGAAGACAGTGGCAGGATGGAACTGGTGCCATGTGCCACACAGACCCACCCCAGAGCACTCCCTCCGCCCACATATTCCCATGCTGCCTGAGCCCCCACTCCCATGGAGCACCCGCAGTCCCGGGACTCAGATTCCACCTCTTTCACCTTCGGTCCCAGTCGGAGCAATCCCTGCCTCAGCCGCGGAGGCTGCGGCTGCCCGACGGGCCTCCTCCTCCTGCCGCTGCCGCTGCTCTTCCATAGAAACGCGAAGGGCCTGGCGGAGGACAGGGCAGGGTCAGATGTTCTCCCACCCTCCCGCACTCGTGGGGAAGTCACTGAGCACAGGGGCACCTTCTGGTTTACGCACATGGAAAAGCCGGAGAGGTGATACAGGAAAAGAGGGCCCAGGAGAAGCCTGGGGTTTGATCAGGAGAAGTGAACAAGAGTCTGACACTGTTGCCCTTAGAGATCAGATGTAGTTCTGCAGCCGAGGGACAAAGCGGGGTCTGGGAAAATGAGCGGGGTGTGTAGGCCTGTTAGCCCTACAGGAGCTGTGTGGCGTGTGGGTGTGTCAGTAGAGGTCAAAGCAGGACCCTGGGGCTCTACCTGAGGTCAACGTTTGCTCACCAGGGCCAGCTCAGGATCAGCACTGGGATCCACTCCAAATTCAAAGTCACTGGCACCAAGACCCAGCATGGCACCGCCTTCACCAGCCAGAATCGGAGAACTGATGAGGGCATCGGCGAGGCTGGGCCCAGGAGGCACTGTCACCAGATGAGATCCAGTTCCATCTTTGCCATTCAACGTGTTCACAAAGGCTGTCAGCTTTTCCGTATTCACTTCCTGGGGAGGAAAGAACACGGAGACTCTCCTTGCTGCCCCGCTCGCTCCCCATTCTCTGCCATCTCGGTCCATCTGCAGCTACTCTTCACAGCACAGGCCCCTCTGGGGAAGGACTCTTCTCAGGCTATAACCAAATCAAGTCAATGCCCCCCAACTAGTCCTTACTCACCTCTTCCCCAAAATTGATAATGTCAACATTTACTTTCTCCTTCTTGAGGCGTTTTGCCAGTTTCACCAGCTGGGAAGAAGGGGAGATACATGAGGAAATCCGTCCAACACCATGAGGGCAAGTGACACACCTCACAAAAGCACACAGAACTCTGCTGACCTCCCCAAGGTCCCCCAGTAGAAACACTAAATTCTGCACATCCACCTTTCCCCAAAGGGATGAACCCACTGCCCCTGCCAGGCTTGCCTAAGACTGAAAGACCCATTCCAGATACTTCCCACCCAAAACCCCGGCTGCCACGGGGACTCACATCCTTCTCGTTGTCCTCCACGGGGCTCCCCACAAAGGCAATGATGCGCATCTTGTGATTCTTGCCCTGCCGGTGCTTCAAAGCCAACTTGTAAAGGAAGAGGAAGTTCTCAGTCAGCCTGAGCAATCACTGGCCTCTCTCCTCTGTCACTCGGTTGTTGTTTTCTTACGGTTTCTACGCACCTCAAGTCTACCATCATGCTCACACAAGGTCTAACCCCTTTCCTTCACTCTCCCGTTCTTGTCAGTCATCCCACCGTATCCTTCCTACTCCTTCTCTAGGCCATCTCTCTTCCCTTGCTCTGGTTCTGGCTCAAGATTCCAGGGGAGAAATGAACAATGTTGGCGGCAGAACCTCAGAGCAAGGAGGAACCATCAAAGGGATCCAGGACTCACGTGGGCCACTCGGATGCCAGTGCAGAAGGTGATCTTGCCCTTGGGCTGGACAGTATGAAGCTTGGACAGGATGCGGCCGGTGTCAGGAGTGAGTGTGGTCAGTACTTCACAGTCACTGGGATATGGGGAAAGCATTTTCATGATTTCAGGTCAAAACAAGTGTCTCTAAACTATGTTTGACTCATCTTTTCTTTAGAGAACTTGACAATAACTGTAATCTCTACTTTTCTTTAACATCTAAAAGTTGTCAATGCAAGGAATAACAAGTTATAATTATATGAGATGTGGATGTTATCTTCTTATAATAATCATTCACAATACAGTTAACCCTTCAACAACGAGGGGCACAATGAAAAATCCATGTATAACTTTTGACTCCCCCAAAACGTAACTAATCCCTGAGTATCCATGGGGGATTAGTTCCAGGACACCCCACAGATACCAATATCTGCAGATGCTCAAGTCCCTTATAAAAAATAGCATAGAAGCCCTAGCCCAGTGGTCGGCAAACTGTGGCTCGCAAGCCACACGCGGCTCTTTGGCCCCTTGAGTGTGGCTCTTCCACAAAATACTGACTTCTGAGCATGGGCCATGAAGTTTCAATCGCACTGTACGTGCGCGCCCACACGTGGTAAACCAATGAATGAAAAAAACAAAATTGTTCCGGTTAAGGGCACATGCCCAGGATGCGGGCTCAATCCCCAGTGGGGGACATGCAGGAGGCAGCCGACCAATGGTTCTCTCTCATCATTGATGTTTTTCTCTCTCTCTCTCTCACTCTCCCTTCCTCTCTGAAATCAATAAAATATATATATTTTTAAAAAATAGCATAGAACAGTGCATACAGTTGGAACCTCCAACCAAGATAAAAAATACTGGTTTTGATCCACAACTGGCTGAGTCTGTGGATAAAAATCCTGGGGATACAAAGAGCCAACTGTATATTTATTTTTTTTAAATCTGTATCCAGCTGAAACCGGTTTGGCTCAGTGGACAGAGCGTCGGCCTGCGGACTGAAAGGTCCCGGGTTCGATTCCGGTCAAGGGCATGTACCTGGGTTGCAGGCAATTCCCCAGTGGGGGATGTGCAGGAGGCAGCTGATTGATGTTTCTCTCTCATCGATGTTTCTAGCTCTCTATCTCTCTCCCTTCCTCTCTGTAAAAAAATCAATAAAATATATTTTTAAAAAAAATCTGTATCCAAGTGGACCCAGGGAGTTCAAATCCATATTGTTCAAGGATCAACTATATATACATTTATCAAGTCATTATGTGGTATATCTTAACCTTATACAATGGTACATATCAAATATGCCTCAATCAAACGGGGGGGGTGGGGGGGGAGATCCAGTGCTCAGATGTGAGGCACAAGAAATAAGTGGTTGATTTTGTAAAAACCTGCCCTCTCCCTTCCAGTGCTTCCCCCTTACTTCTCTCGTGCTATCTTGCTGGCAGGGCTGAGACTCCTCCACAACTATTGGATGCTACTATGATTCTTTCCCACCGTCTCCATTTCCAGACGCATTTTCCCGCGAACAAGATGCATACTGGGATGAGTGGTTACTCATTTGCGGATTATCAGTTCGTAAAGCAAATCACTTTGGACGTAACAGGACTCTGACCCCAAATCACTTTTCACAGACTTTTAAAACACTGTGAAATTTTACCCCAGGAGATTGAGCTTCATAACTGTATTAAATTCAGGTTGATATAAAACCAAGTTACTATTTATATTTACACGAAACAGTGAAGAAGGTAGTCTAGGAAGGTGATGGGCAAAAAAAGCCTCACGAAATCTACAAAAGGGTAGCAACCTGGACACCACAGTGGGTAACATGTGGGAAACCCCCACCCACCTGCCAAACCCCCTCCTCCTCTATCCCACATACTTGGCCAGTGTGATGAGGCCCACGTTGTTCTCAGGGTTGCTACGGGTCTTGGAGTGACATACTATGTTGACAGCGTCCTGTTGGGCCTGCAGCCGGGTAGGTAAGAAGTCCCCATTCCGCATATACTCGCTGTTGTCCACGCTACCGATTAGGAATGAAAGAGAGAAAAGACATTGTGTAGGACCCCAGGCATCCTCTCCAGTTTCAGGGACCTGTGAGAGGAATTGTGGGGGGCTCTAAGAGTATCTCTCCGTCTTTTTGGAGCTCAAAATCACCTCCAGCTCTTTCTTTTAATATATAGATGACCCGCCGAAACCGGTTTGGCTCAGTGGATAGAGCGTCGGCCTGCGGACTGAAGGGTCCCAGGTTCGATTCCGGTCAAGAGCATGTACTTGGGTTGCGGGCACATCCCCAGTGGGAGATGTGCAGGAGGCAGCTGATTGATGTCTCTCTCTCATCGATGTTTCTGACTCTCTATCTCTCTCCCTTCCTCTCTGTAAAAAAACAATAAAATATGTTAAAAAATATATATATATAGATGACCCGGCCCGAACTCAAACTTACCAACTCAAATGACCAAAGGAAGAAAAAAAATTTAAATCTCTACTCCACAAGTAATTTTGATAAGCATCAAAGGTTGCAATCTACTGATATATCACAACCGTCTTTCTATAAGGTGCACGTGTTATTAAATATTGTCAAGGATGAATATTCTAATTCTGCCATTAAAATGGAAGTATTTCATTTTAATGGTAAGAAATGAAGAAGGCAACTTAAAAATATGTATAAAATAACACACTTGGCAGCACTGAATGCAGGAAAGTACAATGTATCATCTGATTAAATGTGTAACTCCTGGACTGAACTGCAAAAATGAGGTTTCATGAATTTGGAGTCTTACCTCTCCTATCCCCACAACTTTTCATAATCTACCAGAATCCAGATCATATGACTACAAACTCCAGCTTCCCAGAGACCAAAGAAGGCAGATAAGGGAAGCAGTTACACAAGCCCCAGAACAGAATCAATTCTTAAAATTCTAACAGTCGCCCGACTGGAGTAGCTCAGTGTTTGAGCATCGAACTACGAACCAGCAGATTACGGTTCGATTCCCAGTAGGATCATATGCCTGGGTTGTGGGCTCAATCCCCAGTGTGGGTTGTGCAGAAGACAGCTGATCAGTGATTTTCATCATTGATGTTTCTATCTCTCTCTCTCCCTCTTCCTTCCTCTCTGAAATCAATAAAATTAAAAACAAAAGAACTCTAACTATCAACGATCCCATCTGTGTTAATGAATAAAGCCGTGTCCTAGATAAGACACCTCATTTCTATTGCTGAGCAAAATACGGATAAGGCAATTTTCTTCTTTGGTATCCTTTGCCTGGCAACAAACCAAAAATGATGAAGAGAGGTCATTAAGTAGCTACTGGAAGGTAAATGGAACAGACGTAAAGGGCAGTCGGTGTTCTTCAGGCACAGGTTCAAATCCCCATTCTGCTACTTGCTAATTCTATGATCCTGAAGAAGTTACTTAATTTCTCTAAGGTCCACTTATTTCATGTATAAAATGGGTTTTATTGTACCAACCCTATAGGACTGCTCTGAGGATTAAATGCATGGAAAGCACTTAGCGCAGTACCTAACAGTAAGCATGAAACACAGACTCATTCTTATACTGGAAACTCAATCTATATAAAGGGCATCAAGGGCTGACTCTGACCATGCATTATTATTCCTTTTCCCCTAATACACTGTTTCTGGTTATTCCCCCAACAGGGAAGTAATTGCCTCTCTAGCTTAAAGTACAGTGATGAGTCCAAATAAAAAAAACAATGAAGGCTTTGAGGGTCATCCAGACGGAATAGTTACTAAGTATAAGGATTGTGGACAAGACCCACAAATGGATGAAAGCTGGAAGAAAGGTGTCAAAATGAGAAAAGGGCGCTTGAGAGCCAGTGAAGAACATGGCAGTAGTTCTCACACTTTGTTGTGTATCAGAACCCCTAGGAGGTGATGGCAGTGGTGGTGGTAACAACATGGATGCTTAACATCTAGCTATGCATCCAAAAAAATCACATTGCTTGGTTTTCCCTATTTTGAACTTTACACGAATGGGATAATATATGTGCTTTTTGTGACGACTTTTGCTCAACAGTGTGTAATTTTTCCCCATCAAAAATTCATATCAAAATAGTATTATCCAGCTATTCCATAAAAGTCTTCATTAAAAAAAAAATACACATGCCTGGACTTCCCTGGCTGGGAGGTCTGACTCAGCAGATTGAGAGTAGAGTCAAACAGTAACAATTTTTAATAAACTCCTCCTGAGAATTCTGAGAAAGCAAAGCATGAGGGCCCACAAAAAAAAAAAAAAAAAAAACGAAAGAAAGAAAAGGAGAGAAGGGGTGGCTCTCATCATTATTCTGTGTGTGAACTATTCCAATAGGCCACCAATAAGCCAAATCTTTCCTCCTGTACCAAGCTGGGTCATTATGAAATGCCATTGTGTGTACTTCTCTGCCTCCACCATCCTCTGAACTTTTTCAACAGTCCTCTATTGCAGGGTGCAACCACCCTCAATGCGACATTTGGGGTCTTCTACCTGGGCCCATCTACCTTTCAGAACGAAAAGGAGCGCCCTCACACCAACCATCTGATAAGAAGCCACACTAGTCAGTTTCCTAATCCCTTAGCATGCCTGGGGCATTCACCTCTCAGCAGCTTTATGCCCTTCCCCCACTTCTTCCCAACATTTACCTAAGGCCCTTCAAGGTCCCTCTTAACTAAGGGCTCCTCAAGCACCAGTGCTATACTATACTTTTTACAGAAAACCATCACATACATTTTACCTAACTGTGCTCTATGATCCCCATTTTATGGGCAGATCACGCAGCTTGTAATAACAAAACACACGCACAGGTTTTTGGATTCCAAATCCTGTCCCCTTTACACATGCTCTCTCCCAGAGGCTGCCAGGTTTAGCAAACAAAAAGACACAACTCTCAGCTCAAGCTGAATTTCAGATAAACAGCAGATAACTTTTTGGTGTAAGTATGTCCCATGCAGTATCTGGCACATACTTACATCCACTTTTTAAAAAAACATTGAAAAGTGTTATTGATCTGAAATTCAAATTTAACTGGACTTCCTCTATTTTATCTGGCAATGCTATCCTCTCCCCCCCAAAGAAAACCCCTGTCTCCCCCAACTGACGATGTGTGTGTGTGTTTACGTACTATTCTGTATTACAGTCTATGCTCACCTGTGGAAGGAACTCTTGAAACCTTGCAAAAGTGTGTCCTCGGCTTCTAATCCAACTCAGTACATACTCGGCCCAAGTCTGGGGCTGGCTCACCTTTAAATCCTGGCCGCACCACTAGGTTGGCTGCGTGACTGTGGGTAAGTCATTCAAAATTGCTGAGGCTGAGTACCCTCGCCTGTAACTCAGTGCTGGGAGGCTGAAGGGAGATCAAGTCCGGGAATGCCCGCCACATAGAAAGCACCATAAACGGCCCCTCCGGGGAAGACACGGGGAGGTCACAGGTGCAGACGCGTGGCCGCGCCGGGAAGGGACCGATCACACAGCCCTGCCGCACATCTGCGGTGCAGGAGGGGAGAGGAGGGCAGAAGACTAGCACGACGAGTCTGAGAAGCATGGCTCTGACCACAGACAGACCGGGGGCTGGTCTAGAGACGGCGACGCTGGGATAGGGAGAGGCCGCGGGGACCGGCCGGTCAGTGGCCTCCGCGGGGTGCGGGTCAGCACAGGGTACCCGGGCCCGTCCTCCTTCCCGGGGCCCGGGATGACTCAGGGAGTCG